ATGTGTACACTGTATGTCATTTAATTGAATGTTTTTACATTGTGTATTATGGGACCCATTATACAGTATACAGTAGCATACATGTAATAACATTTATTCATCTTATTCTATAAAATACAAAAAAAACAGAGCAAGTCAAGCATACAGTATTATCTGGCTAGTTTCTTCATGTCCATCGTGTACGTGCATGCCTATTAAGTATTATCATGTACAGATGTCCTACATGATTGCTCTTATTATTATTCATTACTTTAATTAGGTCAGTTTGTGATTGTTCCTGTGTCCTGTCACACATTTGAGGCTGACATGTACATGTATATGACGTGAGTTACCTTTAGTGGGTGGAGTCAGTAGTAAGTTGTCATGGTAATCATAGGAGTGTTCCTTATCCAATGGAAATAAAGGCAGTGGGTCATAAAGTTGATGTAGTGATTTATTGTCAAACGGATGATCCCATTCTCTTGGACGTTACCCATAGGTACAATGTACATTTATTGTATATCATGTATTGAGGATTTGGGGTTTATACTATAGTGGGTTTACTTATTTTGAATTAATCTCCATTGAGTTCAATATGTGTATTCAATATAATTAGTTCTACTTAAATTTATAACCTCTGCATTTGTAAATGAGAAATAATTTTATAGGTCTACCCTACATGTGCCTCTACTTTTACTCATTTTATGTGGAATATTTTAGTCCTGGCTTTATTGTAGTCTTGATTGAGTTGATTCTATAATTTAATACCAGTTCCTTTGTCTTTTGTAGTAGCAGTCATGTTCTTGTTTGTACATGTAAATGTACATGTACATGCATGTTAAAAGAATTATATTTTGTGGATAAAGTACATTTATATCTGCCATGTAAATGTCTGCCATTGCTAAAGTTTTGAAATCAAAACTTACAAGTCACTGAATGAAGCCAATATAGTAATACATGTACATGTACATTTGTGTACTTGTTCTCTCACTCTTGATCAAATTTATTTATTTTATTTAGTAATGGAACTACATCTGTTGTTTCAGCTGAAAAGAGAGTCAATGGAACGAATGATACAATATATTATTTCTCATTTTATGGAAGGTACATTTGTTATATGCCCATGTATGTATGTATGAATCTAATTCTTCTGTCTTTGGGCTCTCAATATGATACATTTCTTTTCATGTGCCAGTGGAAGTGCTGTACAAACAAATGGGAGTATGCATCATGAGAAAGATTTTTCTAATCTGATGCATTGACACTTACTCCCATTTGTTTCTATAGCACTTTCATTCTTGACGCTAGCGCACCTGTCACTTTGAGAACCCATCTTTATATGCTTATATGACTGTGTATGCTCATAGTACAATTCT